AGCGCTGCCGCGCTTCCCAAGCGGCGCACTATCCAGTGCGCCACCGGGCCGGCCCTATGCTGTGTTTTAAATATGAGTCCACAGTCCGCCATTCACAATTGCAAAATCCGAAGAAAACGCTGGCAATTTTTCATAATTCATTAGGCAGTAAAAGCCTGCTTGGATTGACATGGATGTCTGCATACGCCTTATTTATCCCACTTATGTGAATATTTGTATGCTTCACTGAAAAAATGCTAATACGTTTGACTAAAGAGTGCTGGCCCAGACCTCCTAGGGCTGATATATACTAACAGTATAAGTGCCCCTTTTTTAAATCCACAAAATTCTGAATTAAAAAACACACTGGCCCCATGAGTTTCAGAAAGGAATGATGAATCCGTAATATGAAAGTTTAGTGAGGGCCGAGCCCGTGGCGCACTCGGGAGAGTGCAGCGCTGGGAGCACAGCAGCACTCCCGCCGTGGGTTCGGATCCTATATAGGGATGGCCGGTGCGCTCACTGGCTGAGTGCAGTGCAGCCGGTCACGAAAAAGACAAATAAATAAATAAATTTAGTGAGCATTTTAAATGTCGCATGAACAGTGGTATGCACTTTACATGACTTACTTTTTTAATCCCCACAAAACCCAGTTACTATTTTATTCCCAATCAGAGGTGAGGAAACTGTGCTCAGAGAAGTTATATATCTCACCCAAGATCTTACAGACAGTGAGCAGCAGAGTTGAAAATTGTATCAAGTAATCACTGCAATACCGATTTTTAGTATTCTGGTACGTTAGTATTTTCAATAACCTAAAGGCCAGTAGTTTTGTTATATTATTTATAGTAATACTATTTCTATGGTAATTAAAAAATTTGAACGTTGAGTCATTTATATCTTGAGACATACCCAGAGTTTGGCTGGCTTAAAATTTGTTTCTGAATTAAGGGACCCTTGTTCAAAAGCCTTCTGGATACGTCTTTCTTTAAAACCCTTCTGAGAGATATTATTGTCATCTTAACTCCCTTATTCAGGGTTTCTAGCTTCCTGTGTTTATAAGCAAGTGTATTTCCCTGGGCCAGGACAGGTGGAGACTGTCTACTTCCAGAGTCCCTGATGGATCCATCTTAGAACTGGGGAGGAGGTAAATGGTCATTGAGAACAGGAGAGGGTGAGAGAAGAGAGGGGAAGATAGAGCCTGACCTTGTCTCTTTGTCCAGGTCTGGTGCTACCTCACTTAGGGTATCTTATTTTAATTGGGGTCTTCTTCTCAAACAGCTCTCCAGAGGCACTCAAGCCAGAGGGGGGTGGGGAGCCTCAGGTGTGGTCCCTGGGCCCTGTCTATAGGAATAGTACCAGAGGACAAGGTATAAAAGGCCCAAGCAACCACAGCCCTCTTTTCATAAAATACTGGGATTTCTAATATCATTGCTCTGCTGCAGTCTTGCAATTCAAAACATTGAGGTCTATCTGAGCCCAAGAGCCCACTGTCCCAGCCACTGGAGCACCCACCTGGGAAGTCCTAAGTCCCCAGTTTTCCTGCTGTGCTCTGGGTTGTGAACAGCAGTCTCTTGTTCATCTTCCCCTGTCCAGGAGCCCTGTGGTTCCCAGCGAAGTAGTGGCCGTGGACAGACGTTACTTCCAAAACACTGGAGCATATGACCCTCTCATGTCACTGCGAGGTGGTGAAAACCTTGAACTGTCTTTCAAGGTATGTCTTTGACCAAGGGAGAACACAGGTGTGCTCTCTGGAGTGGTGTGTGTGGTCACGGCTTGGAGAGAGCCATTAGAAATGTCACTGGTCAGGGATGAGGCTGCAGGCAAATTATAAAGTCATTACAGTGAGGTGTGTCAAACTTTCCATTTCTTTCTCTTTCCCATCTCTCTTGTGCCCTACCTTGATTTCACCCTCAGCCTCCCTCATGAAGATGACTCTCTACCATCAGGAAAGGCATACTATCAGCCATTTACACTATCAGTGCAGAGATTCCAGAGGCTCTCCTACATTCTCCATTCACAGCATCCTCAGTGTCTCAGTAATTTTTTCACAGCACCCACAAGTCAACACAAATACCAGGCAGTTCTGTATAATGAGTGGTTTGGTCCAAACAACTTAAGTATCTGTCCTAACAACTCAGCACCTGTTGGGAACCGCATACCTTCTCAGACCTTGGAATCAGGCTGGACACCACTGCCCTCATTTTCTGTTCCACATTGATTTTAGTGTGATACTTGCTTTTTCATCTCAGTTACCTCCAAAAACCCAACCCAGCAAAGAAATCCATCAGCTCAAGTGCAGGAATCTAATGTTGGAAGCCTAAATTACCTCAAGCTTGTAGTTTGTATAATGTCCAACAGATGTCGCTATGCTTCCCTCAGAAATTAAAAATATCCCACATGGCCCTGTGAGTTTGCTGTGGCACCCTGGGGCACCTTGGCACACAGCTTGGGAACACCAGCCTTGGTGCGTTTTAGTTCATATGCTGCCTATCCTAGGACTGTTTTCATTTTAACCTTTATCCCCAAGTGTGGAATAAAAAGCTTCCTGTCAAATGAACTTCAGGGGCCGGCCCGGTGGCGCACTGCTACAGTGCGCCGCTTGGGAGTGTGGCGGCACTCCCGCCGAGGGTTCAGATCCCACATACAGACCGGTTCCCGCTCACTGGCTGAGCGAGGTGCGGGTGCAACACCGAGGGTTGCGATCCCGGCGGTCCGGTACGGGCGCGACACTGAGGGTTGCGATCCATTGCCGGACATGAAAAAAGACAAAAAAAAAAAAAAAAAAAAAAA